TTTATTCTCTTGGAAGCACGTTTTGAAGGACATGTTACTTCTCCTAGTCCCGAGTGGGCCCCAACTGGCCGTGGGAGTGGGTGCTGGCAGGGGGAGGAGCGGGCCCGGGGAGCCCAGAGGGAGGGGGAAGAAAGGCGCCCCGGGACGGAAATTGCAGGTGCCTCGCTAACAAGCCAACCTACAACGGTAGGCCCGTCACCAAGACGATTTAAGGAAGTTCAGAGATCAGACAGGCTCAATCACATATCTGCCCCCACCCCGTCGAATTCGTTAGAGCTAAGAAAACACTAGTCCTTGGGTGACCTGCAAACACCACTTAGAAAAGTCACATCGCAGTGAGAACTGGGAGAGCCTTGCCTACCACTTTGTGCAAACTCCATCTTGGCCTCATTGATTTTTCAACATCTTCACTGAACACCTGTAAGGAGTGCTGTATGTCAGCATCGACTTGATGGCTGTGAGTTTGCTGTGGTTTATTGGCCTGCTCTGGGTACACCTGACCCAAAAGAGCCGGATGAGCTAGCCCAGCCTGGTTCCCGTCCCTTCCAGTGCCTTATAGAATGGATGCAGTGGAGCACCGGACTGATCTACAAAATGCCTTTCGCCAGAAGTCACAATTGGCATTTAAATAGTGCAGAGTACCCGATTTTGGACTAATGGCACTGAACAAGCCCACAAGTCACCACCCCTCCCCCGTTTTTTCTGTACTGTGCTATATGCAATGTTGCCGCACTGATGTCGTGGCTGTATGTTTATATGGAATGTTTCCAACCCCCAAAGACAAAGATCAGATTTATAAGGATACTGTTATTAAAAGGCAATGACAAAACTTTTTTTTAATGAGTCATTCAACAGTCTCAGAACTGACTGACAAGGGGGCCCTCTGAACGAACTCCTCTGTAAATTGGGGAGTATCTAAGAAGTAACAGGTCAGGAAGAGAGTTTGCAGTGACTAGCCTAATTTCAGTGTTTTTATCGTCCCCCCCAACTTCAGCAGAGATTCATAGTACACTGACTGAATAAACAAATTTGCGCTTTATTTCTGAGATGTTAAGCTTACCTTTCTTTGACTTCCAAGTAAATTCTAGTGATTCACTTAAAATGACTAGTATAGCAAAATTAGTTTTTTTAAGTTGCTTCTAGTTTGTGTTTGGCACCAGAAGTTTGACAGGGTATTAAAAAGAACTCCTTTTAAAAATAGACATTTTTTGCCATGTCTCAAATACCTGCCTGTATCGAGCATTTATGCCTTTTTAGAGGAAGGGAAGAGATTTGTCTGCATAAGTGAATTGGCAATTTATAAAATAGGTTTTCATCTCATGCTTCAAGCAGCGAGGTATTTTTAATAAGACCTGTTTTACTCAGCAT